ATTTGTTAATTTTCATTTGGGTTTGAATCATGTTTGAGTGCATGAATAAAAAAAAGTATTTGTACGTTTCACTTACATCAAGATAAAATGCCATTTAAAGATAAATACAACATTCTCTAGTAAATTATTGTTCCTGTATTTTCAGGTCAAAACAAGAACAAGTTTTTGATTGCGTACTTTGCATGGCGAGTGATTACTGGTTTGCATCATCAAATTACTTACCTGATGCAGGTAGTTGGTCATACACGATGTCTGATTGACGCAGGTTTTGCAAGGGCAAAAAAGCTGTTCCGTCGCACAGACTGTGATAGTATGAGTGAACTTCAGAGAGTTTTTGATCATTCTTCAACAACAAACAAAGGTATTCTCTACGACAACGGAAGAGAGTCTACATGGAAATACTACGGTTGGAAAGAGTTTTTGGGCCGTTTTTTCAACTCATTACCTGGTATTTCAAAATACCACTCTTTCCGATTTCATGTGGACTTTCCAGGATTTGTATTTGTAAAAGAAAATAGTGATTCGGCCGAGAAAAAAATCAAAATATCAAAACCAGATGGACTTCAGCAGATTCCGGGAAATTTTCCTAGGGAACTTGCACCCCTCGGAATGTCTAGAGAAAGAGCTCAGTATCTTTATAAGAAGGTCAGACCGTATGTACGTCCAAGATGTCAAGATGAATTATGCCCTCCAGCCCAGACTGAAGAATAGCTTACGTAGGCTATTTATTTTCCATTAAAAATGTGACAAATGCCATATTTTGTTTATTTCACAAACAACAAATATTGATTGTTAAACATTTTTTAAAAAATAGAATTAATGCAAAAGAAAAACAATTTTAAATAGTACTCTGTTCATTAAAACCGTAACTTCACCGGGGTTGATATATGACGTTTTTGACGTCAAAATACAGGATTATGACGTTTTAGCCATTTTTGCACTCTTTTGTAACCATAAAATGAAGCACTTATCATTAAGATATACTATTAAAACTTATATATTCTGATTCCTTGCGTTTTATTCTACAAGAATCAGCAAAAATCTGATTTTGTGATTTTTATGTCATAAGACCCCTTTTCTCATACACTGGCTCATATATACATTTAAATTATATATATATATATATAATGCACATCTTACAGCTCATTCAAACGTAAATCAATTAAGTTGATTGCTGTAATATTTTATTTTGCCTGATCAGTGCCTGATCAAATTGGAAGGGGAGGGGGGGCAGTTCCCCTATAGATTCTAGAATGCGAAAAATTCTCCTAAAAATTATACATCATGTATCCACGTACTATAAAAAATATGTTAAATTTATTACTACAACTTATATGAAATTATAAGGGGATCCTACTCTGGTTGAAAAAAAGGGGGGGGGGACTCTAGAGTAGGATTCCACACCACCACCCCCCATCCCGTGGAGAGTTTGCTCTAGAGTAGGATCCCCCCCCCCCCACTCCCATACAGTAGGATTTTTCCCCTAGGGGAAATCCTACTCTGGAGTAGAATTCTACCATGCGGAAATCGTACTCAGTACTCCGGTATTTATTAATCAACCATTTAAATATATCGGGGTCAGCTTTGCGACATTCTTGTAAAAACAATTATGGCTCAATCCCACCAGGGGATATATTGCTAAAGCAAAGGATAATGTGAGCTTCGGCCATCTATATACGAGGGCTGTTCGGAAATTATTGAGACATTTACTTTTACTCCACAGAGGACAGAGAAAAATTCATGAAAATTCGTCAACATTTTATAAAGAACAAATGAAACAAATGTGCAAAATTTCTAATTTATAGGATAATTAAATAAGGTTTGGTGAAGTTATAAACATGCATATGTCTATTGACCTGGAGCAGCATCGCTACGTCATTTTAACGTCACGTCAGCCGGAGATGTTTTCTCATGTGAAACGACCGGGAAGCGTTTATCCTTTCCTTCTATTTTATCACATATAACATTCCAAAAATCAAACTGTCTCTTTCTTAAACGATTCTTTATAAACATAAAATAAAACGTGTGCTGTTGATATCCCAGTGTAAAATATAAATGAAGTGTCATATACAGGTTGACTTAGCCTCACGCAGTACCGATTTATGCAACGCGGGTCAACGTTATTTAGTCCGTAATAATTGCTGGTCGTACGGAGCTTTTGTTTTTACTCTGGTTGAATTATTTGTAAGAAAAAAATATATACCAATGAAAAAACAAACCTTTAGACATGTTTTATGGCATTGTTATTGTTTTAGCAGGTCGTTTAGTCTGGACAAGTGTTCTCCATAGCTCGACACAAAATTTTAGGTAGCTTGCTGCGCCGCCTTGACGTCAAAATCCAGTTTGTCGTCGTTGTCAGATTTCTATACCGTGCTGAAATTTTTTAATGGTCTCCGTATTTCTAATCGAAATTCTAACAAATTTGCACAAAATGAAGACAAAATTAAATTGAAAAATTATATACATAATTTGAATTATTTTCGCTCTTACTATGGGTCCACCGGGAGTTTTAACGTTGGTGTTACATATTTTCATTAACTGCATGATTTCGTGACTGCGCCGGGTACCCCTACCAGTGACACATTAATATACCATTAAAAAGAAGAAATAAAATATTTGTAATATATTTCTTGCTTTTATTAATTCTAAGTGTCTGTCAAACATATATGCAAATTTTTACCGAAAAACGTTCATTAGAAAGAAGAATATCCACAATGTCTCAATAATTTCCGAACAGCCCTCGTACAAAGTGAAAATAGAGTTAGAGTTATGCTTCTTTACTTGTGGACAGATGCTATTTTAGATCCTCTTACATACATGTACATGTAGACTGAAAGGATCTGCTGGAGATCAGTCAAAGATAATTATGACTACGGTTACAATCATTGTTGCTTTAAGAAGCTTTTTCCCATATCTACTCATTATCAATGAACTTGGAGTAAAGTTGAACATATATTTATCGTTTTCTTTCTACAAAACACCACATGGTTCCGATAGTACAAACTGGTTTTCATGCAGTCACTAGCAATGTTCGTCCAGATCTCATCGCATCTCCGCCCCTTAATAATTGCGAAATGTTTTTTTTGTTGTTGTTGTTTTTGTTTTTGTTTTTGTTTTTTTGTTTTGGTTTTTTTTTTTTTTTTTTTGTTTTTTTTTTTTTTGTTTTTTTGTTTTTTTTTTTTTTTTTTGGTTTAGAAATGAGTTTAAATTTAAATTACTGCCCTGGAATTTAAAGTATTATTAAAGAAAAAATTGTTTATTTTGAAATCCATAGAAAGTGATTATGAATTTCAAAATAAGACATTTGCAATTTGTTATTCTTAATCGAAAATTAATATATATCAGAAAATAATATAAATCAAGATAACTACTTTTCACCTTTGAGATATGAATTACATTCATATTTTACTTATTGAGAAAAGGGGAAAAAGTAAGTATTTCATGTAAAGATATAGAAAGATCAATGTCCACTAAAGCCAACTCTTTATTAATTTTAATAGGATTTTTCTGCTGAGTAAGGTGCAACACGTTATACGGGTGTCAATATATATATATTTTTTACACCTGCGTGTTCCTTAACTCAAAAAAATCTCCCCGATTTAATTCTTAAATTCTTTTACCTATCAATATTTTAGGGTTTACCGATAACATCATAAACCTTGACTTTGACACGTAAAATACAGAGGCCAAGCAGAGCATACAAGTGACAATTCTCGAAAATTAAACACGCTTAATCGTTTTAAAAAGCTCTCCATTTTTTAATGATCAAGTGTTCTTGAACGTCGAGCGTTGTACATTCCACATTTCTATTGAGAAAACACCGGGTGATCGGCATGTCTGAATGCAACTGTTTACAATTAAAATTTTCGTCATTCATCCCTTTTGAGCCTCTATTGAACTTTTTCCACATTCAAACTGGAGAGAAATTTGTTTCTTCATCCGTGAACACTTCCCCTCACACACACGATGTGTTAATGCTTTTTGTCGTCAAATGTCAATAAGAACGGAATAAAAACGCCAATTCGGTGATCTTAATCAGGGAGGATTTCTGAAATGAAATTTGGAACCGCCGCGCAACATTCTCAATAAAAGGATTGACAAAAAGAGTTAACTGCATTCTTTGTATGGAGTGACTGCATTTTGGACTGAGAAGCGATATCAAACCCATTGGAAATTACTTAAATGGCTTCCGAAGACATGTTACCCGAATTTTCCTATACAAAACAAGGATTTTGTAAGTACTGACGTTTCACCTTTTTGTTTCCTTTTGTTTTGTTTCGTTTTCTGGGTAAATTTTCCACTGTTTCTGACCCATAAGGAAGATCATTATATGTAAAATTTCGAGAAAAATAAAGTGTATAATGTGATGAACATCCCTTCTCCTTTTGATCATGGTTCTGTGTATCAATTTGTTTCCAGCTCAGGGAAGCAGAAAATTTTAACTACTTTAATCTAAATTCTTAAACAGCATATTAAATTTTACACAAATATTTAATATCCATGTACCATATATTGACAAAAATTGATTCCAGTTTTACTGTGAGGTTCCCTCCATATGAATAATACATGAGATTTTAATTGTATTGACCATACCAATTTAGGGATTGAAAATGTATTGATAAAGACATGAAACACTTTTGGCTTTTCTTCCGTTATATAACAGTATTTTCCATTAAACACCCCTTTTTGATATGAGTATCTACTTCATTAAAGACTGTATTAAACGGAAATGATCGATGTGTTTGGATACATTAACTTTCTGAAAAGTTTTCTCCGGTGGTAAATATTTCATACAGAGAATTCTAAAGCTGGCATGTAGTTTGGTTGTATCCAGTTTGTCAATTTTTCAATACATCATTGATGTCAAAATTTCTCTAATCTTAAATCCTTCTGATATGCTTTTGGGTTGGCGAAACAAGCGTATATATAGTAAAGTAACTGCTTTTATTTAACAGGAAGCCATTCCAACGGCGTCTAAAGGTACGCCATGGTTCAGCGAAAAATAACTCAATTTCCTGTCGGTTAACATTAGACACTTTGTGGATAATCAGCTCGAAGAACAAAGAATGGTAAAAGACTAACTGTCAAACAGAAGGCCTTGTCCGTAGAAGTTTAGCGCTACAAAGGGAAGGAATATCGTGAAAGCTGACGGGGCGAGTGCGAGCTAGACAAATTTGATTTATAAAGCGGAGGAAGTTAACTGCATATCCCCACGTGCAGTATAACGCAAACCATCTGAATACGCGATACCGAAACTGCAGCAAAGAGAATGGCGGAGCAATGGCACTTTAGAAGTCAACTCAAACTGCGTCTTTGACTAGCGTGGAAATAAGTTGTCAACATGGTGGTGTTAAAACCCAAGAGTAGCAGCTTCAATTCCTTGTGGTCTATCGTATACTGTGTAATAGCTGTGGGAGTTCAATGTTTTATTTCCTACAGAAACATTTCCGATTACCAGGAATCTCTCAGAAACCAGTGGAATCGTGACACTCCGTCAGGGGTCGGGGTAAAACTGGGACTCACTATTGTCTCCTTCATTGTTCTTCCATTTTTCATTTTATCCTCCGTGTTTAGGGCAGGTAACTTTGGAAATGATGGGTTTAAACTCGGGCGGGATCATGCCATCTGCCCTGCTTCGGTGGGTATTTTGGAACATATAGGGTCCGATATTGGGCGTCGTCTTTGGAAATATGCCCCACCCTTCTCCCCCACCCTACACGTTTTATCAGCATTTTGTCTTCTGTTCCCTGACGTTTTGATATCAGCAAAGGAAATCCAGCTCTATATTCAATCAACAGGTATGTATATTGTCTATTTCTCAACATTCTCTCTCTCTCTCTTAAATCAACTAAGAGAGTATCTGTATAAAGCAGTCAACCTCTTAAAAGCGACGTCAGATAGTTTGATAATAAACAACGTAAACAAAATTTGACTATAAACTAGATCGTGCAATTCTGTTGTGATTTTTATCGTTTAAACATGTTAAATAGGCACCTATACATTGAAAGTATCAAAGAACTTGATAAAATATTAAATAATCACGGATGATCAAGATGACTTTCTGTTCAGTGACGAAATGTTTTATCCCATGTATTTCCTTAGTTCAGATCACCATGGATAGGGTCAGGATCCCATGGGTAGGGATTCAGGATCGTGTTGATAGGGATTCAGGATCATGTTGTTAGGGATTCAGGATCATTTTGCTAGGGATTCAGGATCCTGTCGATAGGGATTCGGGATGATGACGATAGGGATTCGGGATCCCTCGGATAGTAGAATCCTTGTGTCTGAAGTATCATCATAAAATTCATTTTGATTTCATCCTGAATGCAAATCACTCTATTTTACTTGCTGTGTTAAATAATGTCAATATAAGAATCACGCTTGTTGAGATGCTGGCATGAAATCTCCACACGAGTCCATTTTTAAAAGTTTTTTTTCCTCCAGTAGTCACGACCAGGGATCAATACCCTATGATATCTATCAGACTGGTCTTAGAACTAGGGCGTACTTAACAAGATAGGAGGTCAAGATTTTCTCGCACCTGCTTGTCTTCAGTCAGTGACCACTTAGTGGTCAAGCTGACCAGACTCCCTCCTCAGAAAATAAACAAGTGGTTTTCTTTGATGGCATCTCCTTGAAGACGTATATTCCAAACAATTTAAGATTTGATATTTTGTGTTTGCATCATAATTTTCATGCTGCGAATTTCCTTTTTTCCTATTTTGAGAACTAAGTATAGCAATAGATAATTATGTCAATCATGTACGTATTTTTATTCCACTATAAATTAAGGACATACGCAATGTAGTTTGAACTTTATTGTCTTTTTCCCTGGAGTTGAAGAGTTCCAATACTTAAAGGAACTGTGTGCTACATTTTAATGTCTATATATGCTGTTGTACACTTCTTCTAAAGCAATTTTGGATAAACAAAACATGAAGAATATATGTTTAGTAATTTTTGTATATTTTTCTTTGAATTATGCAAGAATTTTCATCAATTGACATCTTTTTAAAACCCCTGGTAATGCATGCTGAGTTTCTGTCTATGAACATCTGATGGCACTAAAATTAAATTAAGAATATCTTGAAAAATTATCCGTAGGTAAGATACGTTGCGTATGTCCTTAAGGTACCTCCTTCTCCCAGTTTTAGCGTCCCAAATGCATTTGAGATTTTTAAAAACTATACTCACATTCTGCAAGTTTTAAGCTTTTTCACCAAGGTATGACCAGAGAGCACAATTTAAAATCTAAGACCATCTACCGCATTATGCATATGTTACAAAAACATAATGAAAGTCTCTTACAAGTTACTTATTTAAAAAGATTTCATTCGATAAAATAATTACAGAAAAATCTTCAATAGACTTTTAACATTTTAAAGCTGCTTTGAAGTTAGCGACATAAACTCTTATCAAGAGTTATTAGGAGCAATTAAACAATTTTTACTTTATCTAATACATCGGGAAAATCCTTTTAAAATATGACATTTTTAGTTTACCTAGTTAAACTTTGAATTAAAGGTATGCTATGTGTGCGTCATTAACTTGTTAAACCTGTCTAAAATTTAATTTTAAAATCCAAACGTTTCATTTTGAATTCTGACATTGGGTTCTTTTTTATATAATTTTCTTTTCGTTTCTTTCGTATTGTATATACTATAAAGGTTTCTTAATTGGGAGTATTTCTTATTTGTATTGAATCAACCGAAATGAATACCATGGGTAGAGCATCTTAGCTTTATCTATTGATGTTCAAATTCAGATCAAACCTAAAACACACAGAAAAAAAAATAAATTCTTTGATTCGTTTGTGTTTGGTTTTCTTAACCTTATTCCCTTTTCTTCAAAGATTCGGTTGCGGAGAATTAATCAATAATTTAATTACGCCTATGATATTTACCTGTCTCGTTCACCTTTTTCTTTCTGTGTATGTTTTTTTAATTATCAGATACACTATATTTACAGTGTATTCACTTCTGAATGAAAAGTAGATTTCTGTTCTATATTTGCTTTTTTAAATGCACAGGATAATGTAAACTTTGGTAGAAACACGGCCATAACAGAGTAAATATAATATTTCACGATGAATATATCCCTGTCAGCAAATATTTTCTGCCTCATAAATAAAACTCAGATAACGAAAATAGTTTTGAATAGAGCAGTTGTAATCAGCATTAAGAACATGTGATCTTTCTCTGTTTTTTCCGAGGTTAGCTCTGAGAATTCCAGAGTGTCGGATCGTTCTCTTATTTCTGTAATCACAAAAGATATAGATATGTATACAATAGAACAAGGTGTATTTTCGCGGCCCATCACCTGTCTTGGTGAGAAAACACAAACTGCTTTTTCTTCTGAAAGCAAACCCAGGGGTAATGTAAACGTTTATGGGAGCCTGACCCGAAAGATCACGAACATGCTTACAAAACTTGGCCCAGTAGAACAAGCCAAGGTCTACATAGTGGGATTTTTATCATTTTCTGTATCTTTTAAGATTACATGACACATGTTTTTTCCCCTTCCCATGCTGCTAATTTTACAATTTCTGATTTGCATCAACAGTTTTTAATTTCGTGAAGTTATTAAAAGGTAGCAGACCCTCATAAGATTGGGGTTTTATGAGTTCATTCATCTCTTTGTAGCTTTATTTTCGTTTTAATCTCAGAAAATCTTATTACTTCAGGAATCAGGAATAAGTTTGTGAAATAAATGTTTATTCATGTATAATAATACGTCGGAATAGAAGGATTTTTTTCAACTTAACTGTAAATAAAATGTTGTTCTTGTTTAGAATACATAATGTAAGACACTGTAACTTCTTTTCTTGACTTAAAATTGACTTTTGGAATTTATCAGCATGCCTTTTCTCCCGTTTATTTCTCTAGAACCTCCATTTCCAGATAATTTGGCTGATCTATGGCCTATTCTTGATACACTTCGGTGACCTTAAACTGTTCTGGCATTTATTTTGCTGCGATAAATAACTAAATCACCGCTATGGAACGTCGTGGAACTTGAAGCTGGAAGACTGAGTAGAAATAATTTTATTGCATCATTTTAGTATCCATGCAAATTGTTTTGAAAACTGAAATACAGCGATTCTTTTCCTTAGTTGACTCCTCTTGATAAGGTTTGGTTTCGATGTTTCTCTTGCAATACTGTCTTTCAACTCTCTATATGTTCATACAGTTCCAATTAAAGTCCTGAACATCGATAAAAGTTGTGACTTCCAGTCACCTGTCATTTGCGACTGAACGAGATACAATGTAAATAACTAAATATAAATTCTAAGCTAGAGTTTGTTTTTTTTTTAATTTGTTCTTTTGTTTTGTTTTTTGTTTATTTTAAAAAGTAATTGCATGGTACCATAGCCTCCTTGCTAGTTGCTAGACTTTCAAAACATATGTGTCTTCGTTCTTTGTCATCAGTTATTTTAAAAAGTGTAATATCAACTTGATAAAAAAAAAAAGGGGGGGCGCATATTAATACAGAAAATAAAATTTGCTATCAAGACTACAGCAAGTCCACTTAAATGTACATCTTATGAAACTTCTCAGCATACCAAAGCATCAAATGCTTCGAAAAATTATTAGCCGATGAAAAAATCAGCAGCAATATTTCCCGTATATCATATGTAATTTTTTTTATTTACTTGGTGAAAAAAAAAACAAAATTTACGATATAAAAATTTACTATAATTTGTAAATTTCGTATTTATCTCGGTAAATAGCATGTGTATATTCAAAATTTACAAGATGATAGGTAAAGATGTAAGTGAAATTGCCTGAAATCATTGCAAAACAGTGAAAACTTTAATGCACTTCAAAACACAGATAATGGTCTTACGTAAGGTGTTTATTTATCCGCTAAAATCTTGCGAAATGGGAGATAGGTTATGTATATCTTGAAGGAAATTGATAACATGCTCCTTTCGTGCCATTCAAGTCTACAACGATCAACTATTTGTTAATCAGCCAGATTCCTAAACGTGGCCTGATGAACTGCTAAGACATATTAATTGTTTAGTCACAAATCTTGCGTTCTTGCAGGTATTTATAGATAAGTAAAACAGATCATTGAAGGTATTTTTGACATGTCTTAACGCATCAGTCTAAACTACATTTTTTAAAAGTGCCATGCCAGTGTTGTAATGTTAGCAAACTGTTGGCTGTTCAGAAAATTTTAAGAATATGCTTTTTCTTCAATGAGATGCTCAGACTGACACACCAATGGGTCTCGCCAGATCACATTAAAACGGCATGGCAAGAATGTTAAAACAAGGAAAAATCACTAATGTATGAATTATAAAGAAGCGCAATCATGCATCTTGTATTTAACAAGAGTGTATCGGTTGGCAGATATCCATTTCTTGTTGAGTATACTTGTAACATATGATTTTCCTCGGAAATATAAGTAGTGTGAGGATAGTTGACGAAGATAATTCTCAAATATACATAAACAGAGGGGGAGGGGGGGGGGGGTCTGTCGTGGTCAGTTATTCCTCGAATGGAGGTTGACGTTACCTGTAAAGGAATAGGTCGGTTATTTTCAACAAATCGGTTATTCTAATAAATAGATTACCTGTAAAGGAATAGGTCGGTTATTTTCAACAAATCAGTTACAGTGTATTCTAATAAGGAGGTTACCTGTAAAGGAATAGGTCGTTTATTTTCAACAAATCGGTTATTCTATAAAAGTATATTCGTTTCGCTGCAAAATAAAAGATAGATCACACACGACTTTGGAAATAGATAAATGCTTTATATATTTATCAGCAAAGAGAATGAAATATTGG